TGGGGTCAATGGTAATATCTCCCTTATCATTTCTGATTGTGTTTTTTGATTCTTCTCTCTTTTCTTCCTCATTAATCTAGCTACTGGTCTATTTTATTAACGTTTCAGAAAAACCAGCTCGTAGATTTGTTGATCTTTTGAATGGTTTTTTGTGTCTCCATCTCTTCCAGTTCACCTCTAATTTTGGTTATTTGTTGTCTTCTACTAGCTTTGGGATTTGTTTGCTCTTGGGTCTCTAGTTCTTTTAGTTGTGATGTTAGGTTGTTAACTTGAGATCTTTCTAGCTTTTTGATGTGGGCATTTAGTGCTATAAATTTCTCTCTTAACACTGCCTGACCTGTGTCCCAGAGATTCTGTTATGTTGTATCTTTGTTCTCATTAGTTTCAAAGAACTTCTTGATTTCTGCCTTAATTTCATTATTTGCCCAAAAGTCATTCAGAAGCAGGTTATTTAGTTTTCATGTAATTGTATGATTTTGAGTGAATTTCTTAGTCTTGAGTTCTAATTTGATTGTGCTGTGGTCTGAGAAACTGTTATGATTTCAATTCTTTTGCATTTGCTGAGGAGGTTTTAACTTCCTATTATGGATGGATTTTAGAGTAAGTGCCATGTGGTGATGAGAAGAATGTATATTCTGTTGTTTTGGGGTGTAGAGTTCTGTAGATAACTATCAGGTCCAATTGATCCAGAGCTGAGTTCAGGTCCTAAATATCTTTGTTAATTTTTATCTTGATGATCTGTCTAATATTGTCAGTGGGGTGTTAAAGTCTCCCACTATTATTGTGTGGGAATCTAAGTCACTTTGAAGGCCTCTAAGAACTTGCTTAATGAATCTGGGTGCTCCTGTGTTGGGTGTGTATATATTTACGATAGCTTCTCTTCTTGTTGAATTAAACCTTTTATCATTATATGATGCCCTTCTTTGTCCTTTTTGATCTTTGCTGGTTTAAAGTCTGTTTTGTTGGAAACTAGGATTGCAACCCTTGCTTTTTTCTGTTTTCCATTTGCTTGGTAAATTTTCCTTTATCCCTTTGTTGAGCTTATGTGTGTCTTTGCATGTGAGATGGGTCTCTTGAAGATAGCATACCAGTGAACCTTGGCTCTTTATCCAGTTTGCCACTCTGTGTCTTTTAATTGGGGCATTTAGCCCATTTATATTTAAGGTTAGTATTATTATGTGTGGATTTGATCCTGTCATTGTGATGCTAACTAGTTATTGTGCAGACTTGTTTATGTGGTTGTTTTTATTAGTATCACTAGTCTGTGTACTTCAGTGTGTTTTTGTAGTGGCTGGTAGTGGTTTTACCTTTGCATATTTACTGTTTCCTTCAGGAGTTCTAGTAAAGTAAGTGTGGCGGTAACAAATTCCTTCAGCATTTGCTTGTCTGAAAAGGATCTTATTTCTCCTTCACTTACGAAGCTTAGCTTGGCTGGATATGAAATTCTAGATTGAAAATTCTTTTTTTTTTCTTTTTGAGAGAGAGTCTCACTCTGTCTCCCAAGCTGGAGTACAGTGGTGTGATCTCCACTCACTACAACCTCTGCCTCCCAGATTCAAACAATTCTCCTGCGTCAGCCTCCCAAGTAGCTGGGACAACAGGCATATGCCACCATGCCTGGCTAATTTTTGTATTTTTAGTAGCGATAGGGTTTTGCCATGTTGGCCAGATTGATCTCAAACTCCTGACCTCAAGTGATCTGCCTGCCTCAGCCTCCAAAATGCTGGGATTACAGGTAAGAGCCACTGCACCCAGCCAGTGAAAATTCTTTTCTTTAAGAATGTTGAATTTTGGCCCCTAGTCTCTCCTGGCTTATAGGGTTTCTGCTGAAGGGTCTGCTGTTAGTCTGATAGTCTTCCCTTTGTAGGTGACTTAGCCTTTCTCTCTGGCTGCCCTTAACATTTTTTCTTTCATTTTAACCTTGGAGAATCTGATGATTGTGTCTCTCAGGGATGGTCTTCTCATGGAGTAACTTACTAGGGTTACTCCTAGTATTTCCTGAATTTGAATGTTGGCCCATGTAGCAAGGTTGGGGAAGTTCTCATGGATATCTTGAAGTATGTTTTCCAAATTGGTTCTATTCTCCCAGCTCTTTCAGGTACCCCAATCAGTTGTAGATTTAGTCTTTTTACACAATCCCATATTTCTCAGAGGTTTTGTTCATTCCTTTTTATTCTTTTTTTTTTTCTATTCTTGTCTGCCTGTCTTATTTCAGAAAGATAGTCTTCAAGCTCTGAGATTCTTTCCTCTCCTTGATCTATTCTGCTATTAATACTAGTGATTGCATTATGAAATTCTTGTATTGTGCCTTTTTAGCTCTATCAGGTCAGTTATACTCTTCTCTGTCCTGGCTATTTTCTTTGTCAACTGCTGCAGTGTTTCATCATGATTTTTAGCTTCCTTACATTGAGTCAGAACAGGTTCCTTTAGCTCAGTGAAGTTCGTTTTTATCTACATTTTGAGGTCTGCCTCTGTTATTCCAGCCATGTCAGCTACAGTCCCATTCCAAAGCCCAGCTGGAGAGATGATGTCGTCATTTGGAGGAGAGAGGGCACTTTGGCTTTTTGCATTTTCTGTGTTCTTGTACTGATTCTTTCTTATCTTTGTGGGCTTATCTACCTTCAATCTTTGATGTTGCTGACCTTTGGGTGGGGTTTTGGGGGTTTCTCCCTCTTTTGTTTTCTGGAGACAGAGTCTCGTTCTTGTTGCCCAGGCTGGAGTGCAGTGGTGCAATCTTGGCTCACTGCAACCTCCACCTCCTGTGTTCAAGTGATTCTTCTGCCTCAGCCTCCTGAGTAGCTGGAATTACAGGTGCCTGCCACCATGCCCTGCTAATTTTTGTTTATTTTTTAGTAGAAACAGGGTTTCACCATGTTGGCCAGTCTGGTCTCAAACTCCTGACCTCAGGTGATCCACCTGCCTTGGACTACCAAAGTGCTGGGATTACAGGCATGAGCCACCGTGCCCAGGCTTCTTCCCCCTTCCCCCCTCCCCCCCTTTAACAGTCTGGCCACTTTTCTGTAGGGCTGCTGTGGTTTATTGGGCGTCTGTTCCAGTCCCTAATTCCCTCATATTTTCCAGTACCTGGAGGTATCACCAGTGAAGGCTGTGAAACAGCAAAGATAGCAGGCTGCCCCTTCCTCTGGAGCTCCATCCCAGCAGAGTACAGACCTGTTGCCAGCCTTAACATACCATTAGGTGGTGGCTGGAAACCCCAGTTGGGAGGTCTCAGCCAGCCAGGAGGAAAAGGACTGGGGACCTACTTAAAGAAGCAGTCTAGCCCTGCTTTCATAGAGTGACTGAACTGTGCTGGAGTACCATTTCCACCCCCCACCCCCACCACCCCTTGTTTCAATCAGGTTGCCCTCTTCAAAGCCTGGAGGCTGAAAGAGCTCAGTTGCTGAAGCAGCAAAGATGGTGGTCTCCCTCTTCCTCTGGGAGCTCCATCTCAGTGGGGTACAGAACTGTTGCTGACCTGAACACACCTATAGGAGGTAGCTGGATACTCCAGTTGGGAGATCTCACCCAGCCAGGAGTAAGGATCGAGGACCTGCTTAAAGAAGCAGTATGGCCACTATGCCATGCTGGGGTACTGCTTTCACCCCCAGACAGTTTCCTAGAGCAGCTATACCATGCTGGGTACTAATTTCACCCCCAGAAAGTTTCTTAGAGCAGCTATACCATGCTGGGGTACTGCTTTCACCCCAAGAGAGTTTCCTAGAGCAGCTATACCATGCTGGGGTACTGCCTTCACCCCCAGAGAGTTTCCTAGAGCAGCTATACCATGCTGGGGTACTGCTTTCACCCCCAGACAGTTTCCTAGAGCAGCTATACCATGCTGGGTACTAATTTCACCCCCAGACAGTTTCTTAGAGCAGCTATACCATGCTGGGGTACTGCTTTCACCCCCAGGGAGTTTCTTAGAGCAGCTATACCATGCTGGGTACTAATTTCACCCCCAGACAATTTCTTAGAGCAGCTATACCATGCTGGGGTACTGCTTTTACCCCCAGACAGTTCCCTAGAGCAGCTATACCATGTTGGGTACTGCTTCACCCCCAGTCAGCTCCCCAGAGCAGCTGTACCACGCTGGGGTACTGCTTTCACCCCCAGACAGTTTCCTAGAGCAACTATACCATGCTGGGTACTGTTTTCACCCCCAGACAGCTCCCTAGAGCAGTTATACCATGCTGGAGTACTGCTTTCACCCCCAGTCAGCTCCCCAGAGCAGCTGTACCATGCTGGGGTACTGCTTTCACCCCCAGACAGTTCCCTAGAGCAGCCATACCATGATGGGTACTGCTTTCACCCCCAGACAGTTCCCTAGAGCAGCCATCCCATGATGGGTACTGCTTTCACCCCCAGACAGTTCCCTAGAGCAGCCATACCATGATGGGTATTGCTTTCACTCCCAGACAGTTCCCTAGAGCAGCCATACCATGATGGGTACTGCTTTCACCCCCAGACAGTTCCCTAGAGCAGCCATACCATGATGGGTACTGCTTTCACCCCCAGACAGTTCCCTAGAGCAGCTATACCATGCTGGGGTACTACTTTCACCCCCAGACAGTTTGGACTCCCCACAGGCTAGAATGGCTAAGTTGTCCAAACAGCAAAGATGGCAGTCTGCTCCTCCCTCTGGGCACTTCATCCCAGGAAGAAATCAAAACTCTGTCTGCCAGAGAATATGGGTGGGCAGAGCTGGCTGGAGGCCCCAGTTGGGAGGTCCTGCCCAGAGATAAGGAGGGATCAGGGTCCCACTTAAAGACGCAGTCTGGCTGTGTTTTGGTAGAGCTAAGACTCTTAACAGTCAGGATGGCTTGATAACAAAAGGAGGGCAATAGGAAAAAACAAAACAAAACTTCAGCCTTAGGCAACCAAATCTGTAATGCATTTTGATATAAATAGAAGCTGGTAGAATGTTAAGGTGAGAGGGGAGGGAAAAAACTGTAGAAGTAAATAGACAATCTCTTTCCTCTCCTCACCCTGGCCTGGCTTAGGTGGTGAATGACAAGATCGTGGCCAGCAACCTTGTGACAGGTCTACCCAAGCAGACCCCGGGGAGCAGCGGGGACTTCATCATCCGAACCAGCAAGCTGCTGATCCCGGTGACCTGCGAGTTTCCACGCCTGTACACCATTTCTGAAGGATACGTTCCCAACCTTCGAAACTCCCCGCTGGAAATCATGAGCCGAAATCATGGGATCTTCCCATTCACTCTGGAGATCTTCAAGGACGATGAGTTTGAGGAACCTTACCGGGAAGCTTTGCCCACCCTCAAGCTTCGTGACTCCCTCTACTTTGGCATCGAGCCTCTGGTGCACGTGAGCAGCTTGGAAAGCTTGGTGGAGAGCTGCTTTGCCACCCCCACCTCCAAGATTGACGAGGTCCTGAAATACTACCTCATCCGGGATGGGTAATGCTGCTGCCGGAACCATCTCATCACCCCTAGTTTGTATCCGACTTCTAAGTTCACAGCACACCCAGCCATTTACTAAAACTGCATGGCACAACTGTCAGCCCTCTGCTAGTTCAGGGACCACTTATTGACGTTTTGGAGGTAAAAACCAGTGAGGGAAAGGAGAGTAAAAAATGGCTCCTAGGCCAGGCATGGTGGCTCACACCTGTAATCCTAGCGCTTTGGGAGGCCAAGGTGGGTGGATCACCTGCGGTCAAGAGTTTGAGACCAGCCTGGCCAACATGGTGAAACCCTGTCTCTACTCAAAACACAAAAATTAGCTGGGTGTGGTGGTGGGTGCCTGTAATCCCAGCTACTTGGGAGGCTGAGGCAGGAGACTCGCTTGAACCCGGGAGGTAGAGGTTGCAGTGAGCCAAGATTGCACCACTGCACTCTAGCCTAGGTGACAAGAGCAAAATTCCATCTCAAAAAAAAAAAAAAAAGGCTCCTAGGGGTCTAGCCCATGTGACTGACTAGATCCTATTAACCAAGATGAAAAGATGCGTATAGAAAAGCAGATTTGAGGTAAAAATGCTGAATTTCGTCATTCAAAATGATATATTGAATAAGTTCATTTTTCAGATACCTGCAGGATACCTAGGAAGAGAAGTTCAGTGGGCATTCAGTAGAAATGCATTATCAGCTAGACTAGGTAACATGGTCTGGACTAGAACTGAGGACAGGAAATCATCTGATTCCCTGCAGGATTCCCTGTAGGATTGAGTAACCTGCTCAGAGATGGCAGAGCATGCATGGAGGTGGGGGCTGAGATCCTGTTCATGTGGCTGAGAGTGCAGGGCACAAGGAGGCAGCAGACATAAATTCCTCTTCTAAGAAGTTTGATAGTCAAGGACAGAGAAGAAATATTTGGTAGATTTTAGGAGAAGAAAGATAGAGATATCACGATTTGGTTTTGTGCTTGTTTTTTTTTTTTTTTGAGGATGGAGGACAGTGCGGGGTCTTGCTCTGACACCCAGGCTGGAGTGCAGTGGTGCAAACACAGCTCACTGCAGCCTTGATTCCCCAGGATCAAGTGATCTGTCCATCTCAGCCTCCCAAATAGCCAGGGCCACAGATGCACATGACCATGCCTGACTAATTGTTTTCTTTTTCTTTTTTTAACAGAGGGAAAAACTGAATGTTTATTTGGTATTATTGTTCTTTTATTTTTTCTAGAGATGAGGTCTCACTTTGTTGCCCAGGCTGGTCTCAAACTCCTGGGCTCAAGTGATCCTCCTGCCTTGGCCTCCCAAAGTGCTGGGATTATAGGTGTGAGCCACCATGCTGGCCCCCTCTGTACTTGTTTTATACAAAGGAGAGTTCCATGGTATTTCCTAAGGATCCTTGGTGTGGGATCTGCAGGTGTCCTGAGGTACTGATGAGACCTAACCCTTTTCACAGCCATTGCTTACATTCCCAGGAAAATTACATTCAAACCCAAACTCATAGCAGTATCTCATGAGCTTCTTCCTTGTTTTCCATGCCAGATGGGACAGAATCTCAGGTGGGGTCAGGAACTGCAGCTTAATCAAAGGGAGAAAGTCCAGTGCAAGCAGCTCAGCCCTCGGGGGCTTGCCCTCTGCCGGCTGGCCTGTGGGCTCTTGGACATTACTAAGTTGCTTTTACTCTTCTTGTTTCTCACCACAGCTAGCCTTCACCTGCTGCTACCAATCTCTTGCACAGCGATATTTCATCCCTTGATCCCCATTAGGATCAACTGAGATGCTTTTTAACAAATAGCAATGCCCCAACCCTGTCCTCTGTATTCCATTTCTATTGTCTTAATTCCCACCTTCATTATCTTTCACCTGGACAGCAAAGCAGTGTCTCTCTCTCTCTCTCTCTCTCTCTCTCTCTCTCTCTCTCTCTCTCTCTCTCTCTCGCTCACTCGCTCTCACTCTTGCTCTCTCTCTCTCTCTCTCTCTCTTTTGAGAATGAGTCTCATTCTGTCACCCAGGTTGGAGTGCAGAGCATGATCTCAGCTCACTGCAACCTCTGCCTCCTGGGTTCAAGTGATTTTCCTGCCTCAGCCTCCCGAGTAGCTGGGATTACAGGCGCGTGCCACCATACCTGGCTAATTTTTTGTGTTTTTAGTAGAGACGGGGTTTCACCATGTTAGCCAGGATGGTTTCAATCTCCTGACCTCGTGATCCACCCACCTCAGCCTCCCGAAGTGCTGGGATTACAGGTGTGAGCCGCAGTGCCCAGCCAGCAGCCTCTTAACACAGCCTCCAAAACCTCATCTTTCACAGCTCAGCTCCACAGAGACCCTGGGTGATCCATTCAAACAGAAAATATGATCTTGTCACATCCTTGCTGAAAACCTATTAATGGTTCTTTATTACCTTTGGTCAGTAAAGCTGCTTCTCAGAAGGTGTACTTCCAGCCTCAGGTTCCTGTAGCTCCTTAAGCTCATTTTCATAATATGGAAAGTGCCATCCTGCACTACTCTGGATGGCCAGCAGCAGAGGACATCGGCAGACCTGTGGGTTTCTTGCCATCCTAAGGTGATTTCTAAAAGCTTTAAAATGAAAAGTAGAAGCAACATTTTTTATTTATTTTTTCAATGACTAGATCTACTTTTTTGCAATGGGAGGTAGATTATTGTCCCTTGTTACTTTAAAAAAAAAAAAACTTTAGTGGAGTACTATTCACATATGATAAATAGACATATTTAAAGCATGTAGTTTGACAAGTTCTGATATGTATACCCATGAAGCCATCATGACAATCAAGATATTGAACATTTCTCTCACCCCAAAAGATTTCCCCTGCCCCTCATATTTACTTTTTGCGAAAATAAGAATATAATCATAACTCACTTACCGAGAAAAACATGTAACTATAATCTTCGTAGAGCTTGTGAAACTTATTTACATATGTGTTATTCAGACTGTAGAGAAGGACTATTTACTTTATTGATTGACTGATTGAGAGTCTCACTCTGTTGCCCAGGCGGGAGTACAGTGGTGCAATCTCGGCTCCCTGCAACCTCCACCTCCTGGTTCAAGCGATTCTCATGCCTCAGCCTCCCAAGTAGCTGGGACCACAGGCATGTACAACCATGCCCAGCTAAGTTTTGTATTTTTAATAGAGATAGGGTTTCGCCATATTGGCCAGGCTGGTCTCAAACTCCTGACCTCAGGTGATCTGCCTGCCTTGGCCTCTCAAAGTGCTGGGATTACAAACATGAGCCACCACTCCCAGTGGAAGGATTGCTTGAGTGGTCTTGAGATATTTACTTTTATTCTAGGCAGTTCTAAGACACTGCACTATTTATTTGGCAGCCCTTAGCATATACAGAAGAGAAAAAATATATATGCTTTAGAAGAAAAAAGCATAGACAAAAATGGGAAAACCACAGCAGTGTGGCCCTACTTTGTAAGCAGGCAAGTCATCCCATCTGTGGTGCTCTACAAGAATGATGTGTGTGAGATCCTCCAGCTCTTGGTGTGGCTCATGGGCCCTTACCCTCTGACCTCAGCCCTTTCAGTTTCTGCTCCTGCCAAAGGGAATTATTGACAATTCCCAGACTGTCACTCCTGAACTTTTGACTCTATGCACGCTGTTTCCTCTGCCTGACATCTTCTTCCCCACCTTTTCTTCCTGTCTGATTCTTACTGGCTCTTCAACATTCATGGAGGGTTTACTTCCTTCATGAAGCCTTTCCTTGTATCTTTCCATCTGAACTCAAAATCATTCTTCCTTTTTCCTTCTTCCTCAATTCCTAGCATATAGTAAGGGTCATTCAATATTTGCCAGGTTAACAATTGAATGAGTCTTTATAATAATCATAATCTGGGGCTAGTCCACAAACCTAAAATAAACATAACTCACTTTACTTATATTTATAAATTGTTTGATTATTCATTTCTTTGATTTTTCATTGTCCTCAGCTTAAATTTAAATCAAGCTGCTTCTCCCCTGATACTGAACACATTGATTCACTTCCCTCTAATTTTGGTTGGTGTATGCTCTGAGAATTCAAAATAATTTAACACAAGCCTAAGCAAAATATACCTAGAAAGTTAATCACCAGGAAAAGAAACATATTGAATTCCAAAATCAAGCATTGAACAAGTTTTGAAAGCAATTCATTCTGACTCCATTATACCTTTGTTACTTTCTTTCAGCACATGAACTTGGAGTTCAGAACTAGCATTGTCGAGTCATAGCAAACCCCAAATCCAGAGCCAACATTTGTCCTGGATTCTATTCTGAATGTGTTACCTTGTAATAACCTCTTCTGCTTCACTTTTTCTTTTAAAGAAAAATAACTGTTACTTTGAGATAAAGATAAATTGAAAATGCTCAGGCATTTATTTAGATTAAAAGTACTGTTTTAATATCAAGACTTACTATTATCTTAGATACTGGACTATAAACTCCTTGATGGCAGAGACCATATTATTCATCTTTATGTCCTCTGCAGCAGCCAGTACAATGTCTTGAATAGATTAGGTATGCAGTGAATATTTATTACAGAATATAATCAGAAGAGGGTATAAATGAATTTTACTTCAGGAAAATAAAAATGAGTAAAGAAATACAAGAAATAACAGAAACCTCTTTCAGTTCAGTGAAATGAGGTACTGGTAATAACACTAGTCAAGATGCCTTATTTTAAAACAATTTTGTTGGATTTTTCAAGCACACCGAAACAATAGTTAGCAAGGAACTGGATAGCAGTCTGGCCAGGCACCTTTGTGGCTCATTCCTGTAATCTCAGCACTTTGGGAGGCTGAGGCAGAAGGATTGCTTGAGTGGTCTTGAGTTCAAGACCAACCTGGGCAACATAGCAAGATTCTGTCTCTATGAAAAATGAAAAAATTATCCAGCTGTGGTGGCACACACCTATAATCCCAATTAGGAGCTGAGGCAGGAAAATTTCTTGAGCTCAGGAGGTTGAGGCTGCAGTGAGCTGTAATTGTGCCACTGCACTCCAGCCTGGGCAACACCAAGATCCTGTCTCAAAACAAAAGCAAAAAAGAAAAAAGAAAAAAGTGGTCTGTGCATGTAGATCCAGTACCCAGTTTCATAGGTTTTAACATCTGACCCCTACTTTTTTCCTGGCCCAGGAACTATTAGGTACCCACTAAAAGGCAACTATGTCCAGAAAACACAAAAGTTCCTCTAGAATTTAGAACGGGAAAAATAATATGAGGGTGATTCTTGGTCTATAAGAAGTTTCATGAATATCTAAGACTTTGGCCTCAGCTGGTGGGAACATGGCTCAGTACAGCCTCAGCCTCCTGAGTAGCTAACTTTTTGTATTATTGGTAGAGACAGGGTTTCACCATGTTGGCCAGACTGGTCTCAAACTCCTGAGTTCAAGCAATGCTCCTGCCTCAGCCTCCCAGAGTGCTGGGATTACAGGCATGAGCCACCTCGCCTGGCCAGGAGTGCTTCTTTTCCCCCAGCTAACCCTGAGGTGAAACTAGGAGTTTCATGTTAAGCAGTAGACCTGAGATTAAAACCCCAAAACCCTATTAAACTGCAATTTAACATTAAATTTGGGAAAAGAGAAATTAAAACAATTTGGAGATACGTGACTTTTACCCAATAGAACCAGTTATTATCTAAGAAACTTGGATATTTATGTCACTTTGGTGCACGCACTGCAGTTCCCTCACTTTTTATCCCCTTCAGTGGTCAGTTGCTATTAGGGGTCGAATGCATAGTTATTAAATTTTGTTAAAGAAAAGCCTTCTCAAATCAATACTAAGGTACACAGAGGCAGAATTCCTGCACTATATTGCAAATGGAAAGACAGCCTTACTAGCAAAAGGTATCTTTGAAATAAATGGTGTTGCCATTGCCAACATTTAAACACATTAACAGGTAGCCATGGTGCCCAGTTTGTGGGTACAGAGAATGATAAGTGGGACAGATACTATTAGTAAGGCTAGGTCTGAAGAGGACTTCACAGGGGAAAAATAGATTTTTCTTTCATTCCCAAAAAGCTTGAGTACAGTCCAGCTGCCTCCACCCCTTTGGCTCTCCTTGGGCCAAAATGTTGGACTGGATTGTTTTTCCATCTCTGTTGAAACAATCAAGTCTTATGTGCTATCTGCCCTACTTTCAGCTGTGTTTCAGATGACTCTGTAAAGCAGTACACATCCCGGGATCACCTCGCAAAGCACTTCCAGGTCCCCGTCTTCAAATTTGTGGGCAAAAACCACAAGGTGAGTTGAACATCTTTAACTTATAACCCCTGAACTTGAGCCTTTTTTATGGTGTCATAATGTGTTGAGGTTCTAAGAGCCCTCTGTTAGGATCTGCATGGCCTCAAGAAAAAGTATAGAGAAACTGGCCATCTAGAGGCTTAACCCTTTCATGTATGTCACACCCCCACCCCCTGCCAAAGTAACTGTGCTGTTCCCCCACACCACCCACCAAAATAACTGTGCTGGTCAAAGAAAATACTATAGGATCATAATTTAAGATCTTTGTGGGCAAGTATGGTTGAAAAGCCAGTGCGGTGATTGGTCAAATGGCAAGGGATATAGACAGGAAATTCACAGAAAAGACAAATAGTGAAATGTTCACTGAAAATAGTACTTAAGTGCTGATGAAAACAATTATAAGACACCATTTTATACATATTAAATTTATGAAAATTACAAAATACAACACTTACAAGGTTATAGGGAGAAGTATACAGTGACAGTATAAATTGGTACACTTTCTGGAACATTGTCTGATAATATGTGATAATAATCATAAAATCATCCTATTCTTTTATCTAAAAATTCCAATTCTCACAGTTTCTTAAAAACAAAATAAAACAGAGGCAGGAGGATCGTTTGGGGCCAGGAGTTTGAGACCAGCCTGGGCAACACAGCAAGACCCCTTCTCTACAGAAAATTTTAAAATTAGCTGGGCATAATGGTATAAACCTGTAATCCTAGCTACTCAGGAGGCTGAGGCAGGTCACTTGAGCCCAGGAATTCAATGTTACAGTGAGCCATGATCGGGCCACTACACTCCACCCTGGGTGAGAGAAAGAGAACCTGTCTCTAAAAACAGCAACAACAAAATTTTAAGCCAAAACAGACAAGGTGTGTTGGAAGTGTTTGTAGAGCATTGTTATAAAGGGGTAAAAGAAAAAGCCCCAAACAAACAGGGCTAACGGCCACAGTATATCAATTCAATGCAATATTAAGAGTTATTAAAATGGGCCGGGCGCGGTGGCTCAAGCCTGTAATCCCAGCACTTTGGGAGGCTGAGGCGGGTGGATCATGAGGTCAAGAGATCGAGACCATCTTGGTCAACATGGTGAGACCCCGTCTCTACTAAAAATACAAAAAATTAGCTGGGCATGGTGGTGCGTGCCTGTAATCCCAGCTACTCGGGAGACTGAGGCAGGAGAATTGCCTGAACCCAGGAGGCGGAGGTTGCGGTTAGCCGAGATTGCACCATTGCACTCCAGCCTGGGTCACAAGAGCGAAACTCCGTCTCAAAAAAAAAAAGAGTTATTAAAATGATATATATGGGAAAAGCAGACATAAAAACTGTTGTCATGACAACATACAGGCATAGTAAATATATTACATTTAAAATATATATATACCCTTGGATAGAGGTTGTAGTGAGATAAGGTGGAAGTTTTTTTGTTGTTAGAGTGTAGTTGTTGAAACATTTAAACAAAAGGAAGTCAAAGAGGCCAACATTCTTTTCCACACTGCTGGTAAGTGTATGCGAGTCCTTTCCAGCTATACAAGGGTTATGGAACAACTGCTAACAATGATGGCTGATCCTGATCACCCTCAACCAGGCAGGAAGCGTAGGCAGTTACAACCGAACGGCGCTTCCAGAAAACACTGGTCATGTGATAGCACAAGTGCACGCACGGGAGCCAGTGCTATCCCCAGACCTTGATGTGAAGAAGGAAGATGTTCAAGTTCTTAGACGTTGCTTCACAAAGGTCTCTGCTGTTCCAGCTCCATGCAGAAGTTATGAATGGGTGTTTTTAAATCACTCATGTGACTTAAATGCCAGCTTTGCCACATTTTTACTAAATGTTCCTTAGTAAGGCAAGTTCCTTAACCTCTCTGTTTCTTCAACTGTAAAATGGGGATGATAACCTCTACTTCCAAGGGCTCTTGTAAGATTCCACGAGATAATGTTTGGGAACATTTTGTATTGTGTCTGGCTCCTTGTAAGTGCCCCACAAGTGGCAGCAGTTACTGTTTTTATTAACCATTGTGATCATCTCTTCAGGAAGTGTTTCTGCACTGCCGGGTTCTTGTCTGTGGAGTGCTGGACGAACGTTCCCGCTGTGCCCAGGGTTGCCACCGGCGTATGCGTCGTGGGGCAGGAGGAGAGGACTCAGCCAGTCTACAGAGCCAGATGCTAACAGGTGGCCCAATCCACATCGACTGGGAGGACTAGTTTGTGGCCACACCTGTGTTGGGTCACTGAGTCCGTGTTGGGCGGCTCTGCTCTTTGGAGCTTCTCCCCACGCCCTCCAAGAACCTAAGTTCAAACTTCATACTGTGAGTTCAGACTCCCAGCACCAATTCACTCTGATGGTGGTCCATTGGGTCGGCACAGGCCACAGCACCGCTGAACAATGTGGCCTGGGTGGGGTTTCATCTTTCCAGGGTTGAAAGCTCAACTGTCCACCCAGAAAGAGACTCACCCTATTTCCCTCATTTCTTTCCTACAATTAAATACCTCATGTACGATGCAATCAGACCATAAAATCAGAAGTTGGGTATAATATTTCAAGTTAGAAACCCTAGAAAAATTAGGCCAGGCACGGTGGCTCACGCCTGTAACCCCAGCACTTTGGGAGGCCAAGGCAGGTGGATCATGAGGTCAGGAGATCCAGACCATCCTATCCAACATGGTGAAACTCCATCTCTACTAAAAATACAAAAATTAGCTGGGCATGGTGGCGGGTGCCTGTAATCCCAGCTACTTGGAAGGCTGAGACAGGAGAATCACTTGAACTTGAGAGGTGGAGTTTGCCATAAGCCGAGATCATGCCACTGCACTCCAGACCAGTCTCCAGACAAGAGCAAAACTCTGTCTCCAAAAAAAGAAAAGAAAAAAAAAGAAACCCTAGAAAAATTAAACTGAAATTATTAATGACTCCTTAAATATGTAAATAATAGTTATATCTTAAAATTTCAATTCAAATACAGAGTAGTTATAGGGGACTTGGAAGTTTACCAATAAAACAGCATGTAATTTTAAAAGTAGTATTTGGTTTTTCTGTTGCTTACTATTTTCTTTTTCCTTTTTTTTCCTTTTTTTTGAGATGGAGTCTTGCTCTGTCACCCAGGCTGAAGTACAGTGGTGCAATCTCAGCTCACATAACCTCTGCCTCCTGGGTTCAAGCAATTCTACTGCCTCAGCCTTCTGAGTAGCTGGAATTACAGGCTCGCACCACCACACCCAGCTAATTTTTGTATTTTTAATAGAGATGGGGTTTCTCCATGCTGGACAGGCTCGTCTCAAACTCTTGGCCTCAGGTGATCCACCTGCTTCGGCCTCCCGAAGTCCTGGGATTACAGGCGTGAGCCACTGTGCCCAGCTATCTTTTGATACTTCTAATATATTGCCTTAAGTGAAATATTTTCACCTAATAAATATTAATAAATTCATCGACATGCATTTAAGTGCTTCAGTGACTGAGCTGTAACAGAATTAAAGTTTGGTACCATATTCTCTGTTACTTGGTATTCTATGCCCTCAGGCTAAGACAATAGAAAAAAGTATACAATTCTGCCATACTCTGTTTTGTAGACAATAAGTTTTATTGAAATAAATATAAACCACAAAGATAAATTTTATCTGCAGTTAACCCAATTTCTTAGTATGCCAATTAATTTTATGGCCTTTACATAAGATCAGAAAAGTTTTCCTACTATTAGTTTTTAAAAGTTGCTACAGTATGGGTACAGTGGCTCATGCCTGAAATTCCAGCACTTCAGAGGCCAAGGTGGGAGAATCCCTTGAGCCCAGAGCTCAAGACTAGCCTAGGCAACATAGTGAGACCTCGTCTCTACAAAAAATTGTTTTAAATTAGCTGGGCCTGGTGATGTGCAGCTGTGGTTCCAGCTACTTGGGGGATCTGAGGTGGAAGGATTGCTTGAGCTCAGGAGATTGAGGCTGCAGTGAGCCATGATAGTGCCACTGCACTCCAGCCTGGGTGAGAGAGTGAGACCTTGTCTCAAAAAAAAAAATCCCCAAATCCCAAAACCCAGAAAAGTTGCTACAAATAATAGTTCTTAGTAGAATCAATAAAATTAATAAAAGTAAGGGAAAGGAGAAAATTATTTAGATCAGAAGTCAGCAACTTTTTTCTGTGAAAAGCCAACGGGTAAATATATTAGGCTTTCCGGGCCCTGCCATCTTTGTCACAGCCACTCAACTCTACTGTCGTAGTGCAAGGACAGCCACAGAGAATATGTAAACAAATGTGAGCTCGGTTATTCAAAAAAAAGGATTCAAAACCAGACTTTGAGTTAGGTGTGGTGGCTCACGCCTGTAATCCCAGCACTTTGGGAGGCTGAGGCAGTCGGATTATTTGAGGTTAAGAGTTCGAGACCAGCCTGGCCAATGTGATGAAACCCCGTCTCTACTAAAATACAAAAATCAGCCGGGTGTGGTGGTGGGCACCTGTAATCCCAGCTACTCAGGAGGCTAAGGCAGAAGAATTGCTTGAACCCAGAAGGTGGAGGTTGCAGTGAGCTGGGATCGTGCCACTGCACCCTAGCCTAAGCAAGAGTGAGACTCCCTCTCAAGAAAACAAACAAATAAAAACACAGGGTTTGGGCTAGGTTAGGCCCATGGGACTTAGTGGGCCAGTTCCCACTCTAAATTAGTGGCCGGCAGCCCTTCTGTGCAGCAGAATCACCTGGAAACCATTTCTGAACTACCATTGGATATTCTTTATTGGTTGTTCTAAAGGATCCTCAGGTGATTCTAATCCATGGTTAGGGTTGAGACCTGCAAGTTAGGGAGTGGCCACTTGTCTGTCACTGACAGGCTGCAGAGACTTTTCCTAGCTAGCTCCATTAGTAACTCTTACCAAGTACATCTCAGATCTTAACATGACTCTAACACGTTTAGTAACTAGGAATATCAACAGGGGAAGGTCACCGGAGGGAAAAATAAACCCTCAGATACCTAATTCCTTCTGACCTTCTCCTCCACTGGCCTTAATCAGGTAAGCCTCTGAGCCTGCCCACCTGTTTTTCTCTCGTCAGCATCAGTGGGAATAACCGTTGTCATCGCTGGAACTTACCAAGTTGGGTTTTGATCTCTTCTAAGTGAAATGGAATCGTATTGGTGATAATAGAATTCATTCATCTCTTTCCAAATTTTCTAAAAAGTACACTTTATTAAACGTGAGATGTTTACTGGCAACTGAAACATGGGCCAGAGGAAAGTCATTGCCTCCCAAATGTTTGGACTCCCCACAGTTTCACGCATGAATATAATTATCAAGTCCAGGAATTGCAGGGTTTGCTTGCATTTTAGTCTTTAAGCTAAGAACTAAATTTCCAGGCAAACGTGTCTTGGTTGGTTGGGGAGAGCAGTCTTAAATGAAGAGTAGCCTTCAAACTACTCCATGTTTTTTTTCAATTTTCCTCAAAGGAAAAGATTCACTTTCCAGCTGTAGAAAAATGTTTCCTTTCTCCCGCTTTGTGGTGTCCAAACTGTTGGAAGAAAGAATGAGTCATCTCTCACGGTGACTCGAAGACTGACATCTCAAAGGCTGGCAGTTGTGGTGTCACTCAAAACCAGGAAGGAATCATCTCTTCCTCATAACTCTTCCTTCTCCTCCTCTGCACAGATGCAAGCTGCCCGCTGACTATTCATAAAGGGGCGGCAGCCCAAGGTCCACACGGTGTTGAACACAGTGTCAACCAGGGAATCACAGGCTACTTGAAAAAGATAGAAGAGGGACAGAAAGGTTAATATTGAGTAATTTTCAAGAGGCACTGTATTTCCAGGGATGACATGATACCCAGAGGAAAGCAGAGACAGTAATCCAAATAGAGAATTCAAAGGAAGAGCATATATTTCAGCAAACGTTTTCAGACAAGCTCCCACTCAATCCAATAAAGCAGAAGACACCTGGAGGTGCCCTCACTTGTGGGCCCCTGCTCAAAACAGTGGTGAGCAATCAGCACTCCTACACCCCCATGGTTACTCCATGGAGAATATTTTTTGCAGAAGACTCCCTCACATGACATATCTATGTTTTCCATAGCTTCCCTGTCTGTGGCCATACCACCTGGAACACGCCCAATCTTGCCTATAGCTTTCCCTGTTCAAGTATTGGATGAACAACCATTCACTGATGGAAAAACATTTGCATGTGTTGGATATGTTGGTTAGCCACTGTCTTAGGAGCCAACGATATGGAGACAAAAGACATCATCCTCAATTCAAGGACTCCACAGTTCGGATAAAGAGGTGGACAGGTAAACAGATAGCTACACTACCTCATGATGAAAGTAAGCCCAAGGTGGTATGGGAGCCCATAGAAAGGGTCTCTATCCCTTTGCAGCAAGGGTTATTAGGGGAGGTATCTTAGAGGAAGTAAGATATATAAGCTTAAACTTCAAGAATGGTCAGGAAAATTAAGTACTTATGCATACTAAAACATGGAAGAATTTTGAAAACATTATGCTAAGCAAAAGAAGCCAGACACAAAAGGCCACATATTGTATGATTCCATTTATAGAAAATATCCAGAATAGGCAATCCATATAGAGAGTAAAATAGTGGTTGTTTAGGGCTAGGGTGGGGTAGGGGAGGTAATGAGTAGTGACTGCTAATGGCTACAGGGTTTCTTTTGGGGCTAATGAAAATGTTCTGGAATTAGATTGTGGTGATGGTTGCACAATTCTGTGAATATACAAAAACCACTGAAGTGTATACTTTTAAAGGGTACATTTGATGGTATGTAAATAATGTATCAATTTTTTAATTTTTTTATCATCATAAAAATAACAAACTGTAGACTAGTATCTCTTATAACTATAGATGTAAAATCCTCAACGAAATACTAGTAAACTGAATCCAGCAACATATAAAAAGGTTTACATCATGACTAAGTGGAATTTAGTCTGAGAATGCTAAGCCATACTAAAATCAATATAATACACTACATCAGCAGAATGTAGAACACATACTACATGATCATCTCAATAGATGCAGAAAAAACATTTGAAAACATCCAACACTTTTTCATGATAAAAACACTTGGCTAGGTATGGTGGCTCACGCCTGTAATCCCAGCATTTTGGGAAGCCGAGGCTGGTGGATTGCCTGAGGTCAGGATTTCAAGACCAGCCTGGCCAACATAGTGAAACTCTGTCTCTACTAAAAATACAAAAATTAGCCAGGTATAGTAGTGGGCTTCCGTAATCCAGCTACTTGGGAGGCTGAGGCAGGAGAATTGCTTAAACCCAGGAGGCAGAGTTTGCAGTGAGCCAAGGTCGCACTACTGCACTCCAGCCTGGGAGACAAAGCAAAACTCTGTCTCAGAAAAAGAAAGAAAGAAGAAAGAGAGAGAGAGAGAGAGAGAAAGAAAGAAAAAAGCTCAATAAACTGGGAAAAGAGGATAGCTCCCAGAACCTGATAAAGGCCATCTAGAGACAGCCGTAGCTAACAGTCATGCTCAATGGTGAAAGACTAAATGCTTTTACTCTAAGATCAGGAACAAGACAGAAGTATCCACTCACAACACTTCTATTCCATGTTCTATTGGAAGCTCTAGCCAGGGCAATTAGGCAAGAGCAAAAAAATTTTTTTAATCCAAATTGGAAAGGAAGACGATATGCAGATAGATGGCATTATCTTATATATATAAAAGCCTATGGAACCTATGAAAAACCTATTAGAACTAATGAGTTAATTCAGCAAGGTTGTAGGATATAAGGTCAATGTCAAAAAATCAAATGTATTTCTATACATTATTAGTAAATTATCTGAAAATAAAATGTAAATATAATTATATTTCATTAGCATTAAAAAGAATAAAATACTTAGGAATAAATTTACCAGAAGTCCAAGTCTTGTACTGTGAACACTATATACACCTTGTTGAAATAAATTAAAGACCTAAATAAATGGAATTGATATAATTGGTATAAATATAATAAATATATTTGATATAAATACAATTGTGTTAAGATAGTAATATTCTCAAATTAATCTATAGATTCAGCAATAACCCTGTCAAATTTCTAGCTTCCATTTCTTAGAGAAATTGACAGTCTGTTCCTAAAATTCAATGGAAATGTTAGGAATTCAGAATATTCAAAATAGTCTTGACAAAAAAAGAACAAAGTTTAGGAACACATCTTGATTTCAAAATTTACTGCGTAACAACAATAATAGACAACGTGGTTCTGACATAGATCAGTGGAATAGAATTGAGCATCTAGGAATAAATCCTTCTTTATGGTCAATTGATTTTTGACAAGTGTGCAAAGACAGTATAATGTAGGGAAGAATAGTCTTTTCAACAAATGGTGCCAGAACAACTGAATATCCGCATAGAAAAGAATGAAGTTGGACCTTTTTCTTACACCATACACAAATATTAATTCAAAATAAATCATAGACCTAAATGTAAGCGCTACAACAATCACACTCTTATAAGAAAACATGAGTAAATCTTTGTGATCTTGGGTTAGGCAAAGCATTACTACATACGACACCAAAAGTACCAGTGACAAAAGAATAAATTAAAAAATAGATAAATTGGATTTAAAATTTGAAAATTCTGTGCTACAAATAATACCATCAAGAAGGCAGGAGGAAAAGAAGCAAAAAAAGGGGGGAGAAAATGTTTGCTAATCATGTAGCTGATAAATAACTTGAATATATAAAGAACTCTTGCAACTCAATAATAAAAAGACAAATACAATTTTAAAAGGGACAAAGGATCCTAATAGACATTCAGGTATATATGCAATGGCCAATAAGCACATAAAGAGATGCTCAGCATCAACAACTGTGAGGGAACTGCAAATCGAAACCACAGTGAGATACAACTTCACATGCAGTAGGGTCTATAATTAAAGACAGATAATGACAAATGTTGGTGACGATGTGGAAAAACCTGAGCCTTCACAATTTGGTGGTGGGAATGAAAAATGGTGCAGCCCCTTTGGAAAACAGTTTAGCAGCTCTTCAAAAGCTTAAACATAGAGTTACCATTTAGCCCAACGATTCCTCTCCCAGATACATACCCAAAAGAAGTGAAAACATGTGTTTCCACCAACATTTGTGCATAAATGTTCATAGCAGTAATATTCATAATAGCCAAAATGTAGAAACAACCCAAATGTCCATCAGTTGGTGAATGGATAAAGAAACTATGTTAGAATATAGAATATAGAACAATAGAATATTATTCAGCAATAAAAATGAATGAAATACTGATACATTCTACCACATGGATAAACCTTGCCTAGTGAAATAAGTCAGTCACAGAAGACCATGTATTGTACGATTCGTTTATATGAAAGGCCCAGAATAGGCGGTTCTAGAAGTAGAAAGTAGATTTGTGATTTCCTCGAGCTGGGCAGGGGGAGTTGGGGAGAGGCTGTTAATGGCCCTGGGGTTCCTTCTCAGGGTGATGAATATGTTCTAAAATTGATGGTGATATTGACTGCATAACTTTGCTAACATATGTAAAAGCATTTAAATGGGTGAATTGCATTGTGTGTGAATTGTAGCTTAATAAATCTGCTTCAACAACAAAAAATGAATGATTAGGGTGTTTCACACAGGGGCAGAAAGGAATGGACCATAAACCCAAGTAGTTTGATTCACCAGGTTGGAAACATTCTCTTTGTAGAATCTACAAAGTGATATTTCTGAGCCCATCGAGGCCTGTAAGAAAAAAAAATCTAATATCCCACAATAAAAACTAGAAATAAACTATCTGTGAAAATGCTTTGTGATGTGTGGATCCCTTTCACAGAAAGGCACCTGTGTTTTGATTCACCAGGTTGGAACCACACTTTCTGTAGAATCTACAAAGGGATATTTCTGAGACCATTGAGGCCTGTAAGGAAAAATCGAATATCCTGTGAAAAAATTAGAAACAAGCTATCTGTGAAAGTGCTTTGTGATATGTGAATTCATCTCACAGAATGGAACCTGGGTTTTGATTCACTAGGTTGGAAACACTCTTTCTGTAGAATCTACGAAGGGACAGTTCCAAGCCCACTGAGGCAGGAGTCAGGAGAGAGATGGGGAATGGCCAAGATGATGGTGGAGAGATAGGCTAGGGCTGAATCAGAAAGGGCCCTGTACAGCATACTGAAGAGTTTGGATTTAACCTGTAAGAAGGAGGAATCTATTGAATGATTTACATAGGGGGTCGAGATGATCAGATTCGTGTGGCATATCTGGTCCCAATGGTGACAATCAATTAGATGGGACACAGACACTGGGTTAATTTGAAGTAACCAGGCAAGTGGGATATGAAAGAGATATTTGGGAGAAAGAATCAATAGGACATTGCTTGCAGGAAGTAACTTGACCTGACCCTAGATTAGCAGTAGATACTTTTTCACCCTCTTTAGACATAGAATAGAATGATACTCCCTTTCAAAGGGCACACTGAATTATTCACGTTTCCAAGCCCTCACACCTTCACCTCCAGACTGCACTCTAGACATTGATCTATGAAAAGAGCCAAGATTCTCTCTACTGCAGACACTCTCTGTGGTGTGGAGCCAGCTCTTTATCAGCCTGCATTTCAACTCTTACCAGCTAAAAATAGAAAATGCTAATTCATACCTGGATACAATATCCTGACTTCAGAAACAGAGAGAGTAAAAACTTTTCCTAAGTAAAATAGGACAAAGAAATTATAGAATCAGTGCTAGAAACTAGGTAGCAAAGCAGTTGTTTAAAATAACTATCCTTGCTGGGCTCAGTGGCTCATGCCTGTAATCCCAGCACTTTGGGAGGCTGAGGTGGGTGGATTGCTTGAGTTCAGGAGTTTGAGACCAGCCTGGGCAACATGGCAAGACCCCATCTGTACTAAAAATATAAAAATCAGCTGGGCGTGGTGGCACACGCCTGTAATCCCAGCTACATGAGAGGCTGAGGCACAAGAATCACTTGAACCTGGGAAGTGGAGCTTGTAGTGAGCCAAGATCACACCATTTCACTCTAGCCTGGGCAACGGAGTGAGATTCTGTCTCAAAAAAATAAAAAATTGTACATAAAATTATTATCCTCAAGTATATAGAGACCTTTACACAGAAGAGATTTTTTGAATTCCTACTCTGAAAAAACAGAGGCCTAAACCAAACCAAGTGGTCCTATAAGGAATAATTCTTGATATGGAAAATTATTTAACAGTGGAATGGATAATCCAAGCCAGTTGGGCAGTTCTTTCTCCAGCCTTAAATGATAGATTTTTATTTTTCTGGGAAGGCTTTGGTGTAGTCGTTTACCTTCAGGAGTGTTGCCAGCAGCTCGTGGGCAGGATAGCAAGAACTTTAGTGAAGGAGTGCCCAGAATCTTCACCATTTCTTGCTCAGCCACAGTGTTCCATAAAGAATGTTTAGTGAGCTCTGATGATCTCTCTGAGTCAAGGGGTTCTGGCTATATGTCAGTGTGAAAACAGGAGCAAATTCCCTACGCACTGTACATGCCATTGAGACACATACCTTCCACATTGGAGACAAAGCCCAGACTCCGCTTAAGGTCGGAGCAGATGGATTGGAGACACCATCGGAATTTTGCATCACAGCGATATTTGTTGGCGCCGCAAGTGTCATAACAGACATCCAGCTGGTTGCAGCACTTGGTCATTGCTGGAATGCCCAAGTCCATCTGGGGAAAAGTGAAGGAAGGAAAAATAAGGGGAGGAAATGCCGCGTTCAGACTAAGGACCTTAGGCAACCTTGCCCATCTTGTTATTAAGTAGCCAGTTCTCACATTTCTAGTGCATAACCCAACTAATTCAAAAACACCAGTGGCTCAGTCACAGGTTGCCAAGTTTTTATTGTTACTTAGTTATTATTTCAATAAGCGATTCTGGCCCATTTTTCATCTCTTTTTTTTTCTAGATATTAGTAATTTTAAAATTCAGAGTCAGCTTTCAGTAATGAAAATAGAGACCAGAAGGGTAATCAGGAGAGCAGAGCCACAGGCCTTCTAAATTTAATTAACGCTTAACAGATCCATATGAGATTTTGTGTGAGCAAAGGATTCTATGGCTAAGAAGTATAAACAATTCAGCCTCAGTTCAAGAGATCACCAGCATCCCAGACAGCACTATTTTAAGGGTGTGTGTGTGTGTGTGTGCGCGCGTATGTCTCAGGATGTGTCGGAAAGTAGAGTGGGTATAGAACACAGCTCCTGACCACAAGGGGACTGTAGTCAAACCACATCTCTAGCACACACATGAGAGCATCCTATAAACAAATGTAAATGTAGCAGCATAAACTGTGTAACTAAGTTCATAAAATGCCACATGTGGCTGGGTGCAGTGCCTCATGCCTATAATCCCAGCATCTTGGGAAGCCGAGGTGGGCAGATCACTTGAGGTCAGGAGTTCGAGACCAGCCTGGCCAATATGGTGAAAACCTGTCTCTACTAAAAATACAAAAATTAGCCGGGCTTGTGTGTGTGTGTGTGTGTGTGTGTGTGTGTATGTGTTTGCAGATTTCCATGATGTCAGCACTCCAAACATAGCCACTTTGGCACTACGAACAAAGTCAGCTGCTTGCAAGTCATGACAATATGTAGCAATCAGCTCTCACTGGCCACCACCAGCTGGCTCCAGCACATCACAGGAATGAGCCACTAATTTAAATAAGTCAAACCTGTCATATCTAACTCAAATTAAGTTGTGTCATAATGCCCTAAGTCTCAACTGACATTTTCAGTGGTGATTTCAAAGTTCTGATCTACTATCAAGGGGTTTTTTTTGTTTGTTTTTGAGACGGAGTTTCGCTCTTATTACCCAGGCTGGAGTGCAATGGTGCGATCTTGGCTCACCGCAACCTCCGCCCCCTGGGTTCAGGTAATTCTCCTGCCTCAGCCTCCTGAGTAGCTGGGATTACAGGCATGTGCCAGCATGCCCAGCTAATTTTTTGTAATTTTTAGTAGAGACGGGGTTTCACCATGTTGACCAGGATGGTCTCGATCTGTTGACCTCGTGATCCACCTGCCTCGGCCTCCCAAAGTGCTGGGATTACAGGCTTGAGCCACCACGCCCGGCCTATCAAGGGTTTATCTAAGGGACATATGTCCCTGAGAAAAGGAAATCAGATATATTCTTTGAAAATTCTCTCCTTTGCCTCATATCCAATTTCAAATACTTAATTGTAAGTTCAACTTGTTTCCAGAAATAATCACTTCCATCAGGGATAACTCTAGGATTGCTCTCAGTCAAAACCAATCAACCAAGAAGGTAATGCTGGCAGTACATACACTTTCTGGTACCTTGAGACCCAGGAAATAGGAACTGCAGCCGTTGGGCTCTTGGGGCTTGTAACCGGGTCTGGGCATTGGTGCCTTTCCTTGCAGGAAGAAGAAAGGAAAGAAGCAAGAAGAAATATTTAGAAGTTGAGCATTTGGGAACATTTGTCAAATGAAAATTTTTTAAAAGCATATTTCACTTTTTCTTTAAAAGTCATTGAGCTTTGCATCCAAATCAGGCGATGATTATGAGGATGACAATGACAATGAGGATGATGCTGATGATATCACAGAAGATCATGACTTTCAGACCACTTTGACCCTTTCTCCTAATCTCAAGACATTTCATGAGCACTTTTTTTGTTTGTTTTGAGACAGAGTCTCTCTCTGTCACCCAGGCTGGAGTGCAGCACTGTGATCTTGGCTCACTGCAACCTCTGCCTCCCGGGTTCAAGCAATTCTCCTGCCTCAGCCTCCCAAATAGCTGGGATTACAGGTATGCACCACCATGCCCAGCCAATTTTTGTATTTTTTGTAGGGACAAGGTTTCACCATGTTGGCCATGCTGGTCTTGAACTCCAGACCTCAAGTGATCCACCCGCCTTGGCCTCCCAAAGTGCTGGTATTACAGGCATGAGCCATTGCACCCAATAAGTATTTATTTACTGAGGGTTCTAGTGTTTCTTAAGTGCATGACCTTGCAGATAAAGGCCATGGCAAACCCAACTAAAACTCAAGGTTCCGCATCCCTGAACCACCACAAGACCACACACCACATAAAAAACAAGCAGAACACAACTGGATCACACACTTAAGGAGTTGGAATTGTAGCAGTGCCTCAAAAGCATTTCACTTGCAGGAAATTCAAGCAAGATTCCAGAATCATAGAGCGTTATTGAGCAAAGAGCAAAGAAATCACCCTGATGTGATATCTGAGGCATTTGCTTCATAGAACTAAGTAGAAATGATCTAACAGCTTTGAATTTCTGGTTTTTATGAACTTTCAAATGTGTAGAGAGAAGCTTTACCAGTTGTATCAATGGCAGTGCTCACAGGTGAAGATAATCTTGACCTGAGATGACCTCAGGACAGTCATCTGCAGTGGATATTTTATCCCATTATTCAGATAAGAAAATGGGGCTAAGAGGTTGCATGACCTGCCTACCATCGTACAGGAAGTGGGGGAAATAGGATATAAAGTCGTCTCCAAAGCCCATGCTCCTTCACAACATATCTGCCTCTTTTTAGGAGATGCAAGACCTAGCATAAGACTGGGGAAATGTGCTAAGAATAATTAATCCTTAGGGTAAGGCAGATAGCAGTTCCTCCTTTCTCTGTCCCTTCCTTCCTTCCTTCCTTCCTTCCTTCCTTCCTTCCTTCCTTCCTTCCTTCCTTCCTTCCTTCCTCTTTTTCTCTCTCTCTTTCTTTCTCTTTCATTCTTTCCTTCCTTCAGTCTTCTCCTACCAGGTATTTATTTTTAATTATTTTGTATTATGAAATATTTCAAATCAGTTGAAAAGTCAGAGAAACAAACAGCCACGTACCAAATACACAAACATAATAAATGTTAACATTTGTCAAATTTGCTATAAATGTTTTTTCTTTTTTATTAAATGTGACAGTTCAAGTACAGGTTCAGGTGCAGTTGAAACCACTTTGCACCCCATCATTCTATTTTAATTTTTAGATACTAAGTTTATGTTTTAAGCCCCCCCACTTCGTATCATTCTGCAAATTTGTCTTGTTTATTCTTGGCCCTTTACTCTCACAAAGAATTTTGCAATTATTTTGAATTTGCAGCATCAACTTAGTAAAGTCTACAAGAAAGATGGCCAGGAATTTGATTGAAAAATCCATCAAATGTATAGATTTGGAGATAACTGCCTTTCTTAGGATACTCAGCCTTCCCAAATATGGACATGGTATAGTTCTCTGTTTACTGAAGTCTTCCTGTATGTCATTCAACAGAGCACCACCATTCTCTCCATATGTTTATTATACTTTCTATATACCTATATTATTCAGATCCTTAAACAAAATAGACTATCTCTTAAAAATCCAGAGGTGAGACTCAGACCTCTCTAGTAAATGTGCACTTTTCTGGAACCCAGACTGCTTCTAGCTTTCTGCTCTCCCATACCCTGGCTCTCATGGTCCAAGATGGCGCTTCAGCCAACTCATCCATATTACCTGCAGCGGGATGGGAGGAGTTAGAAGGGTCCAGCCCCTCTCTTCAGTAAACACACTCCAGAATGTTACATGTGCTACTTACTCATACTTCCTTCTGGCCACACCTTAATGAAATGGCAAAAATCTGGTTGCAAAGGTGGGCTAGGAAATGGAACGGGCAGCCATGAGCCCAGCCTAAAAGCAGAAGCAGGGGCTTGTTACTGTAGAAAAGGGGAAGAATAGATATTAGGGGACACTAGCAGTTTGTGCCACAGTTTGGGTACTGGTTGCTGTGATACATGTGGTTATAAGATTGTGGTCCAAGATGACTTCCAATGATTCCCACCTCCTGACATTCATCTCCTGTGTATAGTCCCAGGAATGGTCTGTGTGACCAAGAGAATACTGCAGAAGCGGAGGTGTATTCCTCCTAAGATTAAGCTCTAAATGACATGACTTCTGTCTCGGGCTCTCTTACTTACCCTCTCTCTCACCATTCATTCTAGGGGAAGTTATGTCATGAACAGTCCCATGGACAGACCCATGCCTCCTGCCAATAGCCTCATGAGTTTAGCAAGAGCTCCTCCAGCCCCAGCTGAATCTCCAGAGATGGCAGCATCAGCTGGCAGCATGATCTCAACCTTATGAGAAACTGAGCCAGCATCGCCCAGCAAAGCCACTCCAGGATTGCTGCCCCTCAGCAGCCGTGTGATACAATCTTTGCTACTGTTAGCTGCTAAATTTTGAGGTACTTTGTTACTCAGCAATATATAACTGTTGCCATTATGGTTTTTTTTTTTTTTTTTTTTTTTTTGGAACAGAATCTTGCTCTGTTGCCCAGGCTGGAGTGCAATAGCATGATCTCAGCTCACCGCAATCTCCGCCTCCTGATTCAAGCAATTCTCCTGCCTCAGCCTCCTGAGTAGCTGGGGTTGCAGGCACGCCCACCACACCTGGCTAATTTTTTGTATTTTTAGTAGAGACAGATTTTCACCATGTTGGCCAGGCTCATCTCAAATTCCTGGCCTCAAGTGATCCACCTGCCTTGGCCTCCCAAAGTGCTGGGATTACTGGCATGTGCCACCTTGCCCAGCCTGCCATCATGATTTTAATCTTTTTGCTATATTTTTTCTATAACAGCTTTATTGAGCTGTAATCTTATATCATCTACATTCACTCATTTAATGTGTATGTTTCAATGGTTTTGGCATATCCACAGAGTTGTGCAATCAACACCATAATCTAACATTAGAACATTATAATCTCAAAAAGAAACCCTGGCCAAGCACAGTGGCTCACAGCTGTAATCCCAGCACTTTGGGAGGCCAAAGTGGGTGGATCACGAGATCAAGAGATTGAGATCATCCCAGCCAACACCGTGAAACCACATCTCTACTAAAAATAGAAAAATTAGCCAGACGCGGTGCTACATGCCTATAATCTCACTACTTGGGAGGCTAAGGCAGGAGAATCACTTGAACCCAGGAGGCGGAGGTTGCAGTGAGCTGAGGTCATGCCACTGTACTCCAGCCTGGCTGAGCAAGGCTCCAACTCAAAAAAAAAAAAAAACAAAAAAAGAAACCCTATGCCCCTTAGTCATCACTCCCATCTTCCCACCCCCAGCCCTAGGCAACTCTTTCACATGAATTAAATCATACAACATGTGGCCTTTTGTGTCTGGCTTCTTTCAATTAGCAAAATGTTTTCTGGTTTCATACATGTTGTAGTCTGTATCAGTAGGTAAGTTCTTTTTATTGCCAGAAAAATCTTCCATTGTATAGACATTACCACATTTTGTCCAAGTAGCTATGACTACAGGTGCATGCCACCATGCATGGCTACCTTGTAAATTTTTTTATAGAGATGGGGTCTTGCCATGTTGCCCAGTCTGGTCTTTAACTTCTGGGCTCAAGCAACTCTCCCACCTCAGTCTACTGAGCTGCTGGAATTACAGGCATGAGCCACTGTACCTGCTTCTTTTCTTTTTCCTTTATTTTTTGAGACAAGGTCTCACTCTGTCACCCAGGCTGGAGTGCAGTGGTGTGATCTTGGCACACTGCACCCTTGATCTCCCAGGCTTAAGCAAGCCTCCCATCTCAGCCTCCCTAGTAGCTGGGACTACAAATGTTGCCACCACACCTGACTAATTTTTGTATTTTTTGTAGAGATTGGGTTTTGCTATGTTGCCCAAGCTAGTCTTGAACTCCTGAACTGAAGCTATCCACTCATCTTGGTCTCCCAAAGGGCTGAGATTATAGGCATGAGCCATAGCACGCAGCCTTCTTTTTTTTTTTTTCTGGCTCTATCACCAGGCTGGAGTGCAGTGGCACAATCTTGGCTCACTGCAACCTCTGCCTCCCAGATTCAAGCAATTCTCCTGCCTCAGTCTCCCAAATTGCTGGGATTACAGGCACATGCCACCATGCCCAGCTAATTTTTGTATTTTTAATATAGATAGGGTTTCACCATTTTGGTCAGGCTGGTCTTGAACTACTGACCTTGTGATCCACCCGCCTCAGCCTCTCAAAGTGCCGGGATTACAGGCGTGAGCCACCGCGCCCAGCCTTCTTTTTCTTATTGAAGTGAAATTCGGATAACATAAAATGAACCATCTTAAAGCGTGCAATTAAGTACATTCACAACGTGGTACAACCATCACCTTTATCTAGTTCAAAAACACTTTAATCACCCCCAAGGTAGACCTTGTGCCCATTCAGCAGTCGTTCCCTGTCTCAGGCAGTTTGGATGCTATAACAAAAATAACAGAGACTGGATGGCTTACACAACAGAAATTTATTCCTCACAGTGCTGAAGCCTGGGAATTCCAAGATCAGGGTGCCAGTGCATTCTGTGTCTGGTGAGGGTCTTCTTCCAGATTTGCAGACAGCCTTTGTCTTTAACCTCTTTCCCTTCTTACGAGGACACTAGTGCC